TGCAGATCGATGTGCTGTCCGACCTGCAGCTGGGAGGCTCCGCAGAGGGCGTGCGCCAGGTGCCGGGGCTACACAACGGGAGCAAAGCCTTCCTCTTCCCAGGTACGGCCGCCCCCGGTCCGCCCGGCCCCGCTCAACTTCGGGTCCCTGCGCCGCGCCTGCCACCCACGGCGAGGGTTTGCCCGCTCCTCAAGTCCCTTCCCTCCCTGCCCGCTGTTCTTCCACTCTTCTTCTCCCCCACACCCTCGCTTTTTTTTCCTCTCTCACTATTTTTTTTTCTTTGACTGGTAGACGCTTAATTAAAGTACAGCAGGAACGGGGATGGCAGATGGCTTATTTTGTGAGTCGTGGGGTGCAGTGATGAATAATAGCACCACCCACTCTTCTGCTTTACTTGGGAAACGCTAAACATACCCCAGTTCCCAGCTAAGGAAATGCTCACTGAAAGTTTTGCGTGAATTGAGCAAAATGCTGAAATGAAGTGCCTGGGAGAAGTGAGGCAGATGGCTGAAAACAAGAAAACTTTATTTTTACCAAGGGAAAGTGCCCCTTGTGAGCTTCTGTATCATACCCCTCGTGAGAAACTAAGACTGAGTTTTGGTCTCTTTTAGTGCTTGTGATTGTTTTTTTTGTTGTTGATCATATTGAGAATAGAAATAAAATAGTAGTCTTGTTCCATCTTTCAAAAATGCATTTAGGAGGTTTATTAAACAATTATTTGACTTCCTTATATTGTAATTCACAAAGGGCTGTAAAATAACTTTCAATGGCCAGTTGAATTTAGTGGCATAGTTTACATTGCCTTCATTTGCTCATTTTCAGTGTATTTTTGAATTACACTTTAATAATGTACTGATACCTTAAATGAAGCTAGAGTCAAGAATGCTTTCAAGGAAAGAAATCTCTATTTTATTTAAAAAATAGCGTAAAAATGGCCTTTAAAAGCAAGTCTATTCTCTGAAAGATGATGAAATGCTCCTTAGAAACACAACTAAACAAGAGTAAGGAATATGTCTCAACATCTGGTGAACCAAGCGCTAATTTCTGCATCAGTCTGTAGTTTTAAAATAGGGGGACTTGATTGCTGCTCTCTTGTGTCATTCCAGGAGTTTCAGCTCAGATCTGAAAGCATTTCTAGCGCAACAGGCGCAAGGCTGTGTTTCTTGTCCAGAAGAGTTATAAGTCAAGGGAGATGAGATCTGGAAAGGGAATTTATTTTTCATCTTTGCATTAATGAGATAATTTATTAGAAGCTAATAGTTGCCAAAGGTTTTATTTTATTTTTAAATTTTTTTAAGGTGCTCTGTCTACCGGTGTTCTTCCCCGGTACAGCCAGCGTGTGTCACTGTGGACATTACTGTGGAGACGCATGGGCACAGGCGTTCAGAAACACTGACGCACGCTGGTTTTAGACATCCGTGGTGGGCTGGTGGCTGCAGAGCCTTGGTGATGGGGACGACTGCTTCGAATGGCAACACGTTTGTGTGGGTGTGGGGTTCGTGTCCTAAAACAGCCGTAATTTTTAGAGTATGGTTGGGCTTCTGAGTTGAGGCTGCATTGTGCTATAATGGGGTGGGGGAAGTCAAAACTCCCTTTGATTTCAGTGACAACAGGGTTAGAGGTTTCTAAGAATATGTCTTTTTATTGTATTTTCCCAGTGTCAGGACAAAAAAAAATACTGAGTAAAATAATTGTTTTCAAGTTGTTTCCTCTTTCTTTGTAATTATGAATGTACATAGTTTGTAAATGGGTTACCAGTTTAGTTGTAGCAAAAAATTTAAATTTTCACACCAACCTTTTATTTTGTTGCGTGGAATCGTGAGAATAACAAGGACGAAAACACTTGGGTTTGAACAGTGGTTGAAGTCACTCAGTGTCCCTTGGGAAGTCTTCAGCGCACTGCAGGACTGGAAATACTTTTCCTGCTACTGCGTAAGACAGCTGCTGATTTTTCTTACAGTAAATGGGGTCCTTACTGAGCAAACAGACTTTCATTTCCTAACTTGCATTTAGAAATAGAGAGATTTCTTTCCTTGATCAGACCACTGAGTCTACTTAGTCATTTTTGTTCTGCTCTTAGAGCTCGCACTATGGGAACATTTCTGCAATATATGCCTCTTAATATATATATCTGTGGTGTGTGAATTTCAAATAGGTGTGTGCTGACTTTAAATTTGGGTTTTTTTTGCCGATGTGTTTTTTCCTTATTTCAGCTAAAGCCTTAGTCATAGACCCAAGTGTTTTTGTGAAAAGAACACGAATGACTTTAAATGATCTGTGAACTCTGGAACTTTAACTTGTGATGCCTTTTGGTTTCTTCAGATATTGAATCTTTTCTTGTGCCATATACATATTTATGACATTTTGAGTATGTTGCCTTTTTTGATAGACCACATTTTCAACTGGTGTAAAGCCTTATTTTACCTATGCTTAAAACATACTGAAAGCCTAAATTTAGTTCTCTATTTTAAAAAGAAATTATAAAAGTGGCAGGTTAAACTGCCAGCAGGTAACAGACAATTAAAGATATATGATGGGAAAATTGTACACGCAGCTAATGCAGAGTAGTCTCCTGTTTCTAGGTGAAAAGTCAGTTTTGACTGCTTAATTAGATGTAGCATCAATTTTCAGTACAAGGATTTTAGCATCTAATTGGCTGTTCTGACAAATTCTCCTTTGCGTAATTGATTTTCAAAGGTACTTATATTTCTAGGCCATATAACACAATAAGCAGTTACTCTCTGAAGGTAGTTTTAGTCTGTTATAGTCCATCGGAAGCATTTAGATTGCTCGTTATACACGCCTTGATTTAGGAATAATTATAGCCAGTTGAAATTTGCAGTCACTTGGACTTTATTTTTGTGTACCAATCTGCTCTGTCACTGTACAAATATTATAGAAAGTGTAAGATTTGGGAAAGAGAACTCCTCCCACCAATAGGATTAGATGCTGTGGTCTTTAGCTGTAAAGCTTTTTAGGTGCCAATTGCTACTTGGTTGTAGTGGATGGTAGCACCCAAATGCCACTGTAATCTGGCTGTAGTTTGCTGCAGGGACTTCTCTTTCAGGAGAAATGCGATTTGCAAAGTAATGGTAAAATATTCCAGTGTAGCTTGTGGGAAGATACAATTATGAATAGAAAACAGGGGGAAGTCTTCCAAAATGTTAGTATTGCTATATGTGAGCTTCTGCCAGCACTTCCTAGCCAACAGCAGATATTATGTCAAAATAAGTTGAAAGGAAAATTATTCCTCTTCTGGTCAGAGCAGCAGAGCAGAAGTCAGAATATCTATACCACAAACTTCTCTCTGTTGGGTACTCTTTACATAAATCACTGAAATTTTCAATACCTTTGTTTTCACTTTGCAAAGCAGAGATGACACTAAAGGTAAAGCCTGAGTCAGGTGGGTGGATTGAAGTGTAATTAATATATTTGAAGAAGGCTTTTGCAGAAATACCAGTTGTAATTCTTTCTTTAAATATACCGCATTAATACAATTTGAGGAGATCAGTGGAGATAACAGTCGATGTAGCCTTTTTCCTATACAAAGGCGAACTTCATGTTGCTGCAAGAGCACTTGTTGCATATGTAACTGCATGGAAACTTGAAAAAGTGGACAAGACCACAACAGAGGAGGGTGCTGAGGGTTTTGGATGGGTGAGACACATCTGACTTTAAGTTTCCTGAGTGTAGAGTTAATGTTAAGCGCATGCAAGGTCCCAGTGAAGCCAGGTATTTCAACTTTTAATGGAAATAGTGTTTTGAGGTGTGAGAATCTAAATAAGGGCCACAAAAGTAACTTGGTCTCCTCTGGCACTCCTCTAGGCAGTAACTTTTTGTCACTTTCCTCCTCCCTTTAGACTCTGTATTATTATATATATTTTATACATGTAATATTTTTGATAGTGCTTCTAGGTCTTTCTTACTGTTGAGAGTAAATACTACGCATCAGACTGCCTTTGTCCAGAGAGTGTATGAGTAGCAATGAAGGCACCTTTCAACTATCTCCAGCAGGAGTGGAGTGTGGTGGAAGGTACACTGTAAATCAAGCCATGAGAGGTACCAGAAATGGAAGTGAT